CACAAGTGTCCTCAATAGATTGCTAGCTGGCTAGCCATGGTAAGTCACTTTGTGTTTCTAATGAATGAATGAATCATTATTTAGATTATTTGTTATGTTGGTTCTCACAAATATTCACGTCTATAATAGCTTTATTTTCACTGTGACACTTATCATGTATAATATATTTTATTTTATTTGATGGCACATTGTCTTCCATAACACTTGAAATGATCAAGATCTTCCTGACCTCTTAACACATCACCGTTAAATGATGTTTTATTCTTTGTCATTTCCTCCAGGAAGGGACACAATAGCTTGATTGTGATCCCTTTTATAGCCTGTGGTAGGCAGTGTTTAGCTTCACTTAGAGCCTCAGGAAAGTCAATGAAAGCCAATAGATGACAGAGGCTTAGGCATTTTGTTCCTTTTAAAGTTAGTGTACTTTCACTCAGAGGCACTGCTGCAAGAACGTTTTTCACATTGTGTCACTTTTTCAAATAGTTTTTTTTTAAAGAAAAGATGAGTGCTAAGACATTGTCCTATTTCACAGTGCATCTTCTGTTTGTTTTGGATGTATGTGCACAACCAACCAGCTCCTAAAATGTTTGGGGTCAGACAGGTGCAGAAGTTGAAATGAGGACAGCTCTTTACAAACTTCATAATTCCTGTTCTATGCATGGATTAAAATGTGGCTGCAGTGTTACAATTTCTAAAAACCTTGTTGACTCCCACGAATGTACATTGAACAATATAATTGTGTTGAGTTGCTCTTATCAGGGAATTCTAACAATAATCTAACAATAAGCCTCTCTTTGTCACAGCATGCATACCTATTCCTAAAAAATAATGTGTTTGGGTTTGTTTTTCTTTGAATTACAAATGCTTTGCAGGCCATATTTATGACCGAACAGACATTTCTATCATCTTTGTTGCTTATCTTGTGAATTATGACAATGTGCTTTGTTAAAAAAAAAACGTTACTAGAAAGCAAAGATAACCAAGTGTTTTCAAATTGATTTGATACGTTGCCATTAAATTGGCCAAAAACATAAATGGACCCTACACCCATTCAGACCTGGACAGATGTCCATCTATTCTTCAAAACCTATTTGTTTGAGGTTTTAAAAGAATAGTTTATGAAAAAAATAGGTTTGGTTTAATATCAGAGACGATTGTATTTTAACCTTTGTGACAAAAACAAGACAAAATAGAAAGGCTCAAAGCAGCAATGCCAATAAGACTTAAAAAATGACACATTTTGTAAATATAAGGATAATACAGCTTTGACATGTATAAGTTATATTAGGCAAAATGAATGAAATTCATTTTATTTTATACTTGGTTTATTTGCTTAATTCAGTAAATGATTTCCAACACAATAACACAACATACAAAATACACTTTTTTTCTAAAAAAATAAAACCTCCCTGTCCGCTTGCAAACCGGAGCAGGAAGAAGACAACTTCTACTTGACCCTTTCTAACAACAACGCAAGTTACTGTAATACAGAATCACATGGCCAGCCTGTTGGTGTTAACTTTCTCTTTCCACAAATCATATCAAATTTAACAATACGTACTGAAACAATCAATTACAGTCATCTCAATGTGAGATTTACTGAATCAGTTAATCATTTCCCATTACTTTTTCTAGAAATATACTTTTTAACTGAATAATACGTCAGCAGCATTTCACATTATCCAGAGAACTCCACAGTTCCACTCTATCTACTGGAATACACATTTGTTTCAATGAAATACGAACACATGGACATCTGAAACTAAATGTATCATGCAACCAGTGAAATACAAGACTTCTGTTGTGCGACTCTGAGGTGCAACTTTAGTCAATAAAGACAAACACTGTCTGCTGTTAAATTACTTGGCAGAATTCAGACGATTAGTTTTTCAGTAGTGTTCAACTGGTTTAGTTGGCTTAGTGTAAAGTCCCAGTGATGTTCTCTATATCAGCCCTCAGTGAATGCTTCTTGTCCAACCGGCTGTGGCTCAGTTGGTGGAGTCATTGTCTCTCAACCGGAAGGTCGAGGGTTCAATTCCCAGCTCCTGCTGCAACATGTCCGATGTGTCCTTGGACAAGACACTTAACCACCAATTGCTCCTGCTGCTACGTTGCTACATCAGTGTGTGAATGGGTAGGTGTGACATGCGATGTAAAAGCGCCTGGAGTACCATTAACCATTTATCAATCAAATAACTTGGTCAGAACCAGCTGTTGTATAATAATAGTTATTGAAGCTTCCTAATGTGTCTTTTAAGTGTTGCCGAAAACACTCTTTAAAATATTTTGATCCCAGTGTAGATAGAATAGGGAACTGTAAAAGCGGGAAGTTACAGAACATTTAACATTGTCATCTAGGAAATATGTTGGACTGGAAGAAGTTTCAATTTGTCGTAGGATTTCTTTGAAGCTTTGCTGATGAGAAGTTAATGTAAACACTGAAGTCAGAAACTGTGTTTCTCAAAGATGATCATGGCCTACTTGTGTATCTCAACAAGACGCCAAAGAGGAATGACAAACTGTTGGCATTTGAGGGGCTAGGATTGAGAACTTGCTGCCTTACGACATTCCTGCAATGACGTGGATGTAAAGTAAGTGTCTTTTCTTGTATTTCTTAACTTTTAAAAGAATTGCCTAATGAGAGACGTAGAAAAATTCAAATAGGTTTCAAACTTTTTAGCAGTCACCTTTTAACTTGAAGCGTCAGAGACGAACAAAGGGCTCAAGGGTGCGTAAAGAACAGCTCTGAAGCCCCCTGAAATCTCCTGTTTTCAAAGAATCCTGTGGTCTCGTTCCCTGTGCTCTCGAGTCTTAGACCCCCGTAGCTATAGGTTGCCCACATCCTCTCACTTTTAGACCCCCGCCTTGCATTTCTGTACTCTTATCTCCATCAAGTAAAAACATTCACAGCCACCACTCAGGAATTATGTGTTAATGTGTTTAAAGTGAATTTTCAGTGGTCGTGTTTATCGGAGCATTGAATGATCAGTTATGTTAGTGGATGCATTAAAGTTATCCAATCAGTTAGATATACTACCTTTAATATGATGTAAAATACGTACTGTAGGCATCAACCAAAAGCTAATCTCAAGTGACACTTTTTACACTTCAAAATGCAATGTAACTCCATTATTTTAGACCTTTTACAGTATACACCAGCCAAACAGATATTGTGCATTAACTGAAAATCTAGTTATTTAATGAAGTAATCATTATTAAAGTCATTCATCAAGCATGTTGTTTATTTTTCCAGCAAGATGAATGTGTAAGAAGTTGCTGCTGTTCTTCCTTTTACAGCGTCATAAATGAAGTACCAAACTGATATTTGACAGAGAAATCTGTTCTTACATTTAGGCTCTTGTAAAAGACATTGGCCTTTTATTATTAATGTCTGACTCTCTATATCTGCAATGATTTATCAATTGATAGACAGATAACTCAATGGAATAAATAGGCATTTGCAGCCCCAGTTGACTCTTAACTGGTTTATTGCAGTTTCATTTCAGATAAAAAAAAAGAGAGAAAAAACTTAACCACAACATGAGAAAACATACGTACATATAGATTGTTTAAATATTGTCAAGTGTGTTAAAGACAGCGAGAGCTATGGATTTCCCTGTCAAAAGAAAATGTGTTCTGTCACTTACTTTAAATCCATCACAAAATGATGGAAACTAAAAAAATGGATGAGAATGACTGTTGTGGAAATCATGTTTTTTCAATTTTTTGAGAAAATGTAATATTTTAGCTTGCTACTATTAGGTGTGAGCTAGCATTAAATATAATTGAAACACATTATCAAGTATCGTATTCTTGTATTTTCAATGGAAATATGAGCTGTTTGGAAATGACGCCCATTTAACATACACTTGAAGTTTTCCAAAGTGAGTTCTTTCAGTGGAGCTAAATGTGCTCCCATGTCACATTACGAACTGCGATCACTAAGTGACTTACATTTTGTCCAGTGTGATGGAAATAATCAAGGGACAGATGTTCTTTTTATGAACAGACAAGACATAAAGTAATATTGTATCGTAAACCTGAATATATATTTCATTAACATGGGGATCTAAGTACCAACTGAAGTTTATATTCAATTGGAATTAAATTTAAAATCAAACAGGGTTGATGTTCAAATCTTGACGCTGTGACAAAGGGTGTGTAACATAAACCACTTATTAATTTTCATGTTTCATGTATTTAAAAAACAAAACGTCTCATCACTCATCATTTTTTGTGTTTTCCTTTCAGTGTTAAGTAAGAACGAATAAAAATTGATAACATTGGAATTTATTTGCTGAGGTCAGAGTATTTACAATTTCAATGATTTGTGTTGCAGAGAAGCTTTGTCAGTTTCTCATACACAGAAAAGTCCTTTCCTAATGTGTGTATTTATACCCATTATGACCACAAATGAATAGTTAATAATAACCTACAGCATTGTAGGTCAGGATTTGTATTGCTGATCGTATTATTACTGTTACTACCTGGTGTTTATTCTCTGTGCATTTGTGTTCCCTCGATGTTCTCTGTAGTAAAGCAAAAACAGTGACATGTGGGACTCCGCTGAGCACTAGGTCATGCACCTGGGCAGAGACCACAGCACTGCAAACTGCTGCTCTGTATATAAATTGTTTTGTTGCTTGATAAGAGGTATCATGTCAGCTTGATCTTAGCTTTATGTCATGATCACTGTATGAATGTAAGGTTTAATGCACGGTCTCTTTCTCTTCTAACAATTTGTATTGGGTGTGTATCATTTTAAAGTTAACGTGGTCCTGTAAGATCAGCATTTTTATAAGGATTTTTTTATGTTTGAGATGGTACCCTTTTAAATAGCTTTTTCTATTTTATGTACATTTCAAATTTCAAGTACCTCGTATTTTTTTTTTTTTAGCAGTGTGTGATGGAGAGTGTTGTTTAAAAATCCTTTGGCTTGTGTAGGCCTACACTGATAGGTCCTCTGTCTGTCTCGCTGGGGTGTTACCCTGACGACTCAGGGCCCTGTCAGCTCAGATCCTCCCATCATCTCTGACAGATAGATAGCAGGAAAAGAAAGTATCAGCACTGTCCCTTTGCCACCAGTCAAGATACAAACACGCGTACACACGCACACTGGCGACCAGACACAATGATCCCGCTGACACTGGCATTGTTGATAGGATCATTGCCCACTTCAGGTAAGACTATTACATTTCTCTGTTGAAGTTATTTAGTGACACTTTGGCATAATCAACATCGTGAGTCAGTCAGAGGCCTGTAGCAAAGGAAGTGTTTTTGTGCACTCATACTGAACATTGATGTTGAATGAAAATTATGATTGTAATGATCAAATAACATCCAAACCAGAGTTTGTGCAGAACGGCAACACTTGTTGTTGATAGTCCATCAGATGAAATAGACCTAAGCACAACACAGAAACCTTTGGTCCAATATTACATCTGCAACGGTCAAACTGCCATAGAAGTACAGATAACATTAATTTTCAGAATTATACATTTAAACTGTTATAAGGTCTTGATACTGTCATGTAATCACACAAATATAATGTGTTCAACCTGGATTAAAGGTACAGTGATGAAAAATTGTAAGGCTTAATGCACAACTGTTTTTTGCTCACAGGTATGCATTATATGGAAGATGTTTTTTTTAATATAGAATTTTATAAGCAATTTTCTTAAAGCTTTAACAATGAGCTGGAGTGCATTGTATTTATGTATAGTGCAACTTTCTGGATAAGAATGTATAATTGAGGAGGTTTTTGACTGACAAACAATTAGAGAATTGAGTACATGTTTGTAAGAACGAAATGTGTACATGACCCCGGTAACAGTGATCCAGAACCTTTCTTCTACTGGAACCCTTTGAAAGTCCTCTTATTGTAGATATTTCATAAGACTAGTGATGCAACAGCGATCACAATAGTTATACCTTTACTTTTGGCATTGCATAAATGCTTGCTACATCACCTTGCATAGTAATTTTAAAATGCCAACTCTACAAAGTTTCTAACATGTATGAAGGATGTCTTCATGGTGGATTTAATTTCCATTCTTGCATCACCTTTTGTGATATTTGTTGCTTTGATTATCATATTGCGAGGCATTTTTCTTCTGCCTTGCTTGTGGCATAGTGAGTTTTTTTTGTAGTGTGAGTTTTTTTGTGTGGTGTTAAAAGGTTTAAAGGACCATAAGCTGTTGGAGTTCAGTGTTCTGTGCCTGTTGAAATCTCACAACATTCCTCTTTTTTAGTTCTAGGTCAATCCCAAGGTCCTAGCCCAAGCCTGCTACAAGAAAGCGTCAAAGTTCAATACCCTAAAATCTTCAGCACAGAGATTATTGAGTGTGACTGCCTTAATTTCTCCTGTGACTACGTCTACTGGTTCCACAGTAATCCCGATCAACAGAAAGTACAGTTCATTGGCTACTGCAACAGCGCCAACCGTGATAGCTATGGTATTGGTGTGGACGAAAAACGGTTCAAGATAACCAAGAAGAGCAGTATGTCCTTTACACTCCGCATCAACAACTTAACTGAGGAGGACACAGGGATTTATTCTTGTGTTCTGAAGGGCAGGAAAAACATGGAAGTGTGGAAGTCTGGCGTTCTTCTTCTGCCAGGCGGTTTGTATGCTCAACATTGAAGTTCTTACTTTACAGCAGTTAAAAAAAAAGAATTAATGACCAATCGTTGTGTGAGTTGTAGAATCGCCACAAAAAAAGTGGCAGGCGGTTAAATCAGAATCAGAATAATGTCAATGCAAATCGGCATTTAAGTCTGTACTAGTGTAAAATCACAACATATAGTTTGTACAATAAAAAATACAATATCAATACCTTACTGGGACGTCCCCAGTTTGAGTTCAAACAGTGAACTTTGTCTTACGTCCCTTGTTTCATATGAATAAATTAAAAAAAGAAATGTATTGGTCAAAGCGCAAAACTCCATTTTTATATCTTTCATCCGAGGTTATTGGTTCTGGCCAAATTTCTTCAACTCAGCCGTCTATGGTGAATCTTTCTGGACTTGTTGCTTCTGTCTAATGCATCCACATAGAGTTAATCAACACTCCAAACAACACTGGAAGCACTGAACACATTGAGTGCTGTTGCTTTGTTATGAGATTTATAAATGTGGCAGGGCAACAGGTGCGCATGAGGAATATGAGTTTCTAAGGAGTGGAAGGATAACAAACTCCATGTTCAACTTTTGTCTTTGAGTTAAAAAAAAAAAATCAAAATATACACAACCCACTGGGCTATTGCTCATACACAGACAGGCAATATGCATAATGTATTTTAGAGAAAAATTGAAGGATGTATCTTGGTAAGAATAGATGAAGACAGAAACAGAAGAACAGATATAAAATAGCTGGTTTCTCTTTCAGATGTAATAAATACATATGTAGGCTAAATTCTTGTCTAACAGCCTCTTTCTCATGACTGGTTTGAATGTTTGTTTGTTCTTTATCTGACAGTCATGCTTCCAACTGTACCTGTCAAGACAAAGCCCAAACCAACAGTCAGATCAGTGTGTCGCTGCTCTGAGAGGAAGTCTTCACAGGGTAAGTGATTTTTCACAAAAGGAAAAGGGCACTTGTTTGCACACATTGTTGGGAGTGCATAATTAGTACTGTATGATGTTTTGCTGATTATAAATAAGAAAATAACATGCATGTCATGATGTGTAAGTCATTTTTGTCAAATGTAATGGGGTGTAAATAATGTATCCTTTACCATATTGCAATGCTATGAATACAGTTGAAGAGGTAGCTTCTAACCACATAATTGGCTCCATACAACCATAGCCTGTGCCTGAAGCATCACAATCTAAAATATGTCAAAATGAAATGATATATATTCGTTTGTTTCAGATGGCTGCGGCTCCCTGATTCTTTGGCCATTGGTTGGAATTATTGCATCCCTAGCTCTAGCTCTTATCTTCATACTGTACTACTTCAGCCGTGAGTAGTTGTTCAGTTAATGTATGCTAATTGATGTAAATTCATGTTAAGAAAGCACACTTTTAAAGCACACTTTAGTTAACTGTTGAGCCTTCAGTGGTGTCATAGGTCTAACTTGACGAAAACACCAGTGTAAGGAGGTGCCCACTTGATTCAGCTGTGAACTTCCTTTATATTGACATGCACCTTAACTGCCTCTGCTTTATCTGGTCTCATGCACTACATCACTTTATTCTATCCTTTTTATATCAGTATTCATACAGTTCTGGTTACTTTATTCCTGATGTTTCTTATCCATCATTGCACTTCGGTCACTTTATTTATCTCATTTTTACCTTACAGTTATATTGTATATATTAGTTCTGTTGTTCCATTATTCACCATGCACCTTAATAACTTATCATTTAGTATTTGCCTACTTACACATAGCTCTGTATATATATATATTTATTTCTCGTTTACTGCACATAGCTCTGTATATATATATTTATTTCTCGTTTACTGCATATAGTTCTGTTTACATCTGGTCACTACTGCACATAGTTCTGTATATATATATATATATTTATTTCTCGTTTACTGCATATAGTTCTGTTTACATCTGGTCACTACTGCACATAGTTCTGTATATATATATATTTATTTCTCATTTACTGCACATAGTTCTGTTTACATCTGTTAGTCTGATCACTGTCCACTTATATCTACTCTTTTATATTTTGTATTTTTAAGTTAAGTTTAAGCTTTAAGTTGTATTTAAATTGACACTTTATATTTAGGTTAAAATGTTTTGTTTACTTGCACTGTTGTTCATTTACTGCTCTGTGTGCCTTTGAATTGCCCCCCGGGGGACAAATAAAGTTTTTTGAATTGAATTGAATTGAATTGAATAACCCCGTTGATGTGCGAGCTCTAGCTGTCCATCTAGTCTCATTGCCGGGTAATGGGATTGTATCGTCGTTGTCACGACCTGGAGCTTTCATGTACAGAGCCCATGTTGAAGGTTGCAAAACTGTTGGTGGGGTAGGGTCTTACGCAGCACTTATCTTTTCATTAGGGCACAAGTTTCTTGTGTTTATTCTAAAATTTAACCAGGTGATGCTGCCAGGTTAGCCCACATATATATGGAAAAATATTACAATGTGTAAAATATGCATTTTAATTATCTCTAAGGTGTTTCTTTTGTTTGTCCCGTTCTCGCTTGTATAGGGCTACCCAAAAAATGTCGGCACCACTTTGTGAAGTAAGTAGATTACAGAAAAATGGTTTAAATAGCTGTGATTTTTTTCTTTAAACAACTTGTTCATTTTTTTCTGGTGCGACTGTATTTACCAATTCATTAATCTTTCTTTTTTTTCTACATTAAGGAAAAGGTAGATGACCCAAAGCTCCGCAGATTCAACTTGTGTTTGCCTCCAGTATGTACCTCATTGTGAATCTTTACATACCTGTATATAAAATGATGTCTTTGCTATCAAAAATGTTTATATGTAGACATTTTGCAATATGTGATAAAAATCCAGCTTTGCCTTTGTGTTAGCAGGGGGTGAAGTGCTTCTCTTGAGCCGTCATTCAGCGGGGCACGAAGAACATGAAGACGTGTCATTATTTACAGTGAAATGTTTCTCTCTATCGAAGAACAGTTTAGGATTTCAACAGAAATAACCTTGTAACGTGTTGTGATATTCTTAACATGTTTGTTTCATGTCTTGCAAGACAGCCTTTGAACTCCATCAGCTTCAATTCTGTGTGCTTTAACTTTTCATCTTGTTTCAAATCATCAATAATCATTATCCCTATGACATCAGCATTCATGGGACTGTTTTCTGATTTAAAAGGTTTCCGAGTAGCTTTGGGTTTAGAGTATTGTTCAATTTCCTTTTTGCCCCGCTCTGTATTTATTTTTCTTCATGGTTGTGCTTTTCCATCTATCTTGATGAAAACAGCTCTTTTCAAGTTGATGTTTATGTGAGCATATTTTTTTACGTCAATAAAAGTCTATTTTTAAAACTTTTGAAGCGGCAAACCTTTTCATTTGATTTGTGATTGAATTTATTAGACTATTTGTAATTAAATCAACCAGTTACAGATTCATTTATAACAGCTACACAGTTGTTATTGTAAATACAATACATCGCCAAAAGTCAGTGATTAAAATGATTGACTCAGGGCAGACTTCTTGACCAAGGTTACTTTAGAGACATTAGAATATGGCTACATCCTCAAATCCTATTACTGTAGGTTTATCCAATTAAAGGTGCAGATTTTGTACAGTTACAGTTAAGTTCTTGCGTTAAAAAATGTGTTCTGTGTTGATTATAAGGTTTCTGCATGTGTATGTCAGAGAAGAGAAAGAGAGGTTTGGAAGTGGGTGTTTTACATCCATTGTCAATATTGCATTTTGCGGAAGAAGAATTTGTGAGTTGAAGGGTTTGGTTTCTTCCATTCTTTTGATGTGCATCACATTCACTTTCTGTTGAACAGCCTCGGATAATGTGGCAACAACACATGTAATAAATATTTATATTTTCAAATGACAGGATGCGACATCTGTCATAGATAGTTGTGTATCTCTCTCTGTCTCTCTTTCTCGCTCTCGCACATACACACACACACGTACACCTGTGTGATGAGGATGGTAAAGAAACGACTAGGTTGGTGGTTGTTCGGGTCTTAACAAGTGCAAGCGACTCTTTCCTGTGTTCTGTGGAGAGAAGAGAGACAGAGCCATGTTCACTGAGATGCTATCACTTCTCTTAACTTTGAGTTCTTCATCTAGTCTCTGAAACAAAACGACCACAAATATACCACAGACTGAACCACAAGCACTCGCAGAGGTACACAGCGAGGGAAAGACAGAAACATTTTTGTGTTTGAAATGAAACAGTTTAATACAAATACATTTAGAAGAAGCATTTAAATAATACTCAAAAGAATCTTAGTGTTGGAGGCTGTTATTGTTATTGATACTTTACAGTATACAATGGAGTTTACAAGGATCTGTATTTTAGGGTCGGGCAATAAATCACAAGGACATTACTAATGTACTTAAACTCAGATAAATAAATCCATTTGATGGAATCTTTGCACACGACACAGGTTAATTGAAATTTAAAAAATGAAGTGCTTCTTTAGCAATCACTTCAATTAAAATATATATATATATATATATGTTTATATAATATCATATATTGTTCAACAACGTAGACAATGAAGCAACAAGACAAAGATTACCTTCAACTTCCACTTTTCAAACTAAGCTGCACTCACGGGTGAACAAAGATATTGAACATCAAGGTGCTACAGTTGGCCCTCATATGAACAAGCACACAGAAACACTTTAATAAAGAACAGACGAGAAAGAAAACTGTCAACTTTATGCACACAGAATTTATTCAATTGCTGTTGTAGAGAGCTTGGGCCAAGTAGAACTTCAATTACAAACTGTGCAGTGTGGTGCGTTTTGTGTTTAAGATAAGACAGTGGGGAAATTCAAGTGTACAGGTAAATATATATGACTAAAATAAAATTAAAGATAAAGGGACAATATATTTGCAACTATTACAAGCAAGAATTAAGTAAACTATACACCAATTAAAATCTTAATAAAAACTATACAGGACATCGAGACATTAAGTGGCAAGTTGAGTTTAAAGTGACCAGTTACTAGATAAAGTGGCAGAGTTGAAATAAGGTGCCAAAAGCAAGCAATAAATGTCAAAAATAAGCATCTAGAAATAATATGGAATAAGGGACAAAGTCCAAGGTATGTCAGTGTGACAGCCACTGTGGGTTAGGGTGGGGAATGCCAGTGTTTATGATGAAGACAGACTGTAGGACCCACTGATGTTGTACAGTCTGATGGCGGTAGGAAGTCCTATGTCGCTAACGTTTCAGGATCATAAATGAGGGCAGTTTGAAATGATAGATAAATGAGATGACTAATAGTGTTATCTCATCAAAAATAGAAATGTGTATACTTAAAAAACAAAGATAGACAATTATAGATGATGATGTCATTTTTTATTGTTGCATACAAATGTTTGATTATTGTTAAAGTTAAAGTCAAATTCAATTCAATATGTGAAGCCTTGAAAGAAACACCGTTTACATAGTTGTTTTAAAGTAGTGTCTTGTCACTTTCACTTCTGTCACCTTTTCAAATGAATATAATTATCTTATTCTCTGAGAAATATACATGAAATGCAAACGAGAACAATATGAAGCAGATGTACAACATTATGGCATGGTTATCCACTAAACTGTAAGCAATATTAGTCTTATTTTCTGTAATATAACACAAGACTCTTGTTTAACTTAATTTAGTAGAAATGAAAAAAAGTAAATTCCCATGAAGGCATAAAGTGATAGTACACAGTTTACATATCAATCAATCAAGCTTTATTTATATATCACCTTAATACAAATAAAATGCATTTCTAAGTACTTTACACCGATTGAAAAACATGAACCAACCAAGAACTAATGACATTAAATCTTGGGCTCCACTTCAAAACTAAAAATCCAGTTCCCCATGCTTTTATGAATGTAAGACTGATTTTACCATCTTCAAGATTCTTCTTATTAAAATCATTTACATACAAAACAAAAAAGTATTCACATATACACAGTGTGTTCTCTAAAAGTAACACTTTCCAAAATTGAAACTTTTTAGATTTAAATGAATTCATGGGATAAATCAGGAATCCAGCCTAGAAAGCCATTTTAGCCACTCATGAATGTTAAATATCTAATTTCAGTTGTATGTAAATGTAAAATAAATCAAAGACAAACTATAGGTGACTATTACACTCGGCTGTTCGTTGTGAAATCCTACAGAATTTTTTTTTTTGAAATACGTCCGCGCATGCTCGTTTCTTGGTTTTAGCCTAAAGCAAAGGAGGCAGTAAACACATTAAGTTCAGATCTGACATACACTATCTAATTTAAATATCATAGAGACAAGTTGGTCAGAGAGCCTATGATGAGTATTGTGTACATACTACTATATTAACATAGGATTAATCTGTAAATTACTTTTTTCCAAACACATGACCTCGTTTGTCAATTCCATGTCACATTAAGCAAATAAAAAATATTTAGATAAACATATTTAATGATCTGATTTCACTTCTTTACTATAAGTAAATGGTAAAAATAAAAGTTTGTATCCAAATCTTCTAAAAACTCAGTTTCTACTTACTCCTCCTGTTGTTCTTGGTTTCTTTTTCACAACTTCAAATCCCATAATGCCTGGAACTGCCAATGCAGCAACAGAGCAGAGACTGGTTTGCCAAAGTGACGAAGACAATAAACTGATGATGTTCATTAACTGGTTTAGATGTTGCTGCTATTTCGGAATGAAAAGAGATTTCTAATGATTCATTTCATTTTCAAAATACTGAACAGGGAACACTTTTTCTCACTGGCTTCCCCTGGGCACCCACTTAATGTACAAAGCACAAAAACACGCAAACACACGCCAATGCAAGTTTCAGGTTGGAGACCCCCAGTGTGACTAATAGGGAAGCCCATGCAGGTGTGTTTGCAAATGACTACACTCTGAAACAGAGCAATGGAAGGTGAGGTGGGCTAACCGAGAACGCTTTGACTGTGACTTCCCTCTAAAACCAACAGAATCCCCGGCTTACTGAAAACAAATTCAACCAAAATCGGGTTTCCATTAGGGTTTCATTTTGAATTAAATGTTACAGTAATTTATGGAGACCTTTATTTAAAAAGTCATGTTAATCATATTACTGAATTCGGGCTAATTATGTGACAGGAAATAACAATTGTTCTTAAGCATAGGTATATGAGGTATATATCTCTGTTTCTTTCCTCCCCTTCATTGGAACAGATAATCGCCCACAAGAGAGCGAAATGTCAGCACTTGCTGCCCATTTCTACATCGGTGCGCTTACTTTCCATCACTGAGCAGGAAATAAGACGACCCCAGGTTTGTGCTATAAAAGCTGTTACTCTCACGGTTTCACTTTCCTAAAACAGTTGAGCTTTCACATGCAGAGAAAGGTGACATGATACTATATTATAGCTGGTATAAGCTATGTTCCTTGGTTTTACTTATTCTCTCTCTTTGTTGTGCTAACATTTGACTTCCCAGTCAAGTACAGCTTTAAATGGGCCATAAGCAACCCGCCAAAACATTTGAAGTTATCTGACCACAGTTAGTTACAGTATACTGTAATTAGTTAATCAAATTATGTTGACGTAAAATCAAGTAAAATCAACCAAGTCAATCTCTTCTTCAGATTTGTGACCGATGGATTATTGATTTCTTGCTCACCGATCACAGAGCTTTAAGTCCAGCTTTTGCTGCCACCTAGCAGTGATATTTGTTTTCTCTGTTTCAGTCATGTAACACTATTTTACTTTTTATAAACTCAGCATACTATTACTGAGTTTTAATAATATGAGCCAACACTACATTTAATTGGGTTTGTTTTAATAAAGGATGCCTGTTGGAGTGATAGGTCACAGTGAATAGGTCTGGTTGTTAATACAAGTTCATAATCTAGCAAGCAGAGGATCTGGATAAAAGAGAAATGAGTGAGCTTGGAAAGCAATGAAAGCCACTCAGGTGTAGCCTTTAATTTTTAAGTTCCTTGTCCTTTGAATCTGGGCTGTAACTATTCAGAATCAGAATCAGCTTTATTGGCCATGTATGCTTACACACACTTTGTGAACTGTACTCTCTATGTACAAAAGTACAACATTAAATATAACAAAAAACACAAAATAGCAAAGTGATATGTACACGATTAAATAAGACAATAGTGCAGTGGTGAGTAGTGTTAAATGCTAAACATGATAATAAAAAATGTAATTAAGAAATATAATTATATGACAGATGGGTTAGTTAACCTGAGGTAGAATTTTACAGTATTTACATTAAAGGTGTGAATACATTGATAATTTAAATTTAAATCATATATCTGTATATGTACATTCACAGTGTAATATATTCACAAGGTAACTAAATATGGATTTATAAATAAATGATAAATGTAAAAAACATGCATATATATATATATATATATATATATATATATATATATATGTTTAAAAACTGTCTAAATGTTTCAAACTGTTTCTTTCTTCTTTTGTTAAAATGTCCTGTGGTCAGATTCAAATTTGGGGCATTGTTTAGGTAGAAGCCTATACTTGTCTTCAAGCCCTTCTCAGATCTTTCAATTTCCAGTGAAAGAATTCAGAAACATCGACTCAAAATCTTTATTATTTCAAAAGGAATTTCCATTTGCAATGTAGCACTGGAGGGAGTTAAAGGGCCAAAATAAAAATACAGAGGAGTCTCCAATAGTAGATGGCCGAGATTATTGCTCAAGAGCACTTCAACAGAGCAGACTTTAACCCAAATCAACTTAGTGCATAAAAACAAGTCCAAAAAATTCTTATTTCTTGAAATGTAACTTTTGGTTCGTGCTGACACTGTGTGGAGTTCTGTTTATATAGAGTGGGCTGCTACATTACTTAAACTTAGTAATGTGCTCAGTTTGTAGTTTCTACACTTCCTTGGCAGCCTACAGACTTTGCACGGCTGCGTTTGTGTGTCAGTATATCTTGGATGAAATTGGGCTGTCAGATGCTTCAACAATAGGCAGAGGTGTTGGGTGCAGATCGGTGGGCTCCACTTCAAACACCTTGCAGACCACGACTGTGCTGCAGAAGGTCTCTGCAACACTCTGCTGCAATGATCTCATTTGACATAGCAGTGAAGAAGATTACGGCTGGGGCGTGGTTTGATATCTCACTGAATTATCCCCCGTCAGTCTCCAACAAACACCACAAAGACAAATTTAACAGCTAAAACTGTCAGGGGTTAAAATGGACCAAAAATGGATACAGATTCTGGTGATTCTGGTGTTTTTTCAGAGTAAGTCCGGCTTACATTTTACTGATAAGTCCTCGTATGACCATGCAGAAGTGTTGTTTCATGATTTGTCTCTATGTCTTGTGCTTGGTGAATGATTTTTCTGCTCCCATTTTACCACATCTTTCAGAAATTACTACGGGAGCCTGTGAAGAAAGAGTGATAAAAGAGAAGGAGCAAGTTGAAATCAAATGTAATACTCAAGATTTCGGCTCCACTTTTGTCTGGTTTCGAGTGCTGGACAGAACTGCCATGGAATTCATTGCATCTTCTAACTTAATTGGTGATATGAAGGAAGCACATTCCTCCTTCTCCTCCATCTTCAGTACCAGAAAGAGCAAACAATTGATCCTTACATTGAACTCCTTCAACAAAGCTAGTGACAGTGGTGTTTACAGCTGTATCTCTCAGAAAGGTCAGGTATTGAAAATTGGCGCTGTGACTCGACTGGGCGGAGGTGAGTATTGTTGGATCATTTGGCATAATGATTAAAGAATGGATTATTTTAAGTCACACTTCCCCTCACATCTAAATTCTTTCTGAAGAAAAAGTTAAAGTCTCAACAGAAGCACCACTGAACACCACCAAACCAAGTCCATGCACGACTGCTGCGCCATGCGTCTGTGACCATAAAACACGGAAAGGTAACTCTTCTAAATCACAATATTGTGTGAAAATTGGTCTACATCACCTTCATATTTACAGTGAGGAGAAAAATGTATTAACTGAGAACGTTTTGCAGAGGAAGCAAGTATCCTGATGCTTTGCTCTCCAATCATATTGGGTCCACTTGTTGGCAGCTGTGGCCTTCTTCTTCTTCTCCTCATCATCACCACTCTGTACTGCAATAGTAAGTCCTTTTCCCAGCTTTAACCTTTAACCAAACTAAACTAATAGTTATTGGTACATCCCAATTTATTGTATGAAATTTAATAACATTTTTCCCCAAGTTGTTTTTCCTGCTTGTCTTAAATTAAAATGTGTTTCTTTGCCAAGTTTTTGACAACACCATTGTTTTTTTTGTTTTTTTTTTAAAGAGATAAGGACACGGAGATGCCCACATCATTATAAAAGAAAGTAAGAATTGTATATATTTTTTATTTGGTTTGATCTTATATAACTTTTCCATTGAGGCCTGATCTTAGGAAAACTGAAGTCCTATAAGTTCACAAGTCCTCCAACCGTACAAATTGAAATTATATTTTTGTCACTCTGCCTTAATATGTGTGTATTAACTGAAGCTTAGTTAAACTTAATTCTAGCAAATGACTCTGTACATCAAAAACAGTAACTCACATTACCATCAGAGCTTTAGTTTCTCTGAAACGAGTACCAAGTTACACTTTAACCAGATTGTTCTTAGGAAATTGTTTAATAAAGTTTAGCTTTTTTACCACTAATTGTGGTTCCAAAGGCCCATGCCACTGGACAAGTAATGCTGAAAGAGAAAGATCATAATTTTTTATTAATGTTGTTTTCCGTTGATTCATGATGTCAAATTAAACTGATTGGGACAAAAAAAACAAAATTAGCCTGTTGAGTGATTACCACGTATTATTTTTAATCTGTAGAATGAAAATGAATGTTGCAACAACAAAACAAATACACACATTTAAAGAAACGACACCTAGGACATCAATCGTGGCCCTGCTTCCTTTTGTATTGTACTGTACTGTACGCACATTAATAATGACTCTTCATATACCTTTCTATGTCTTATAGACCGCGGGCGATGCCTCCTGGAAATCAAATGAAGACCAGCAGACAGATATAAAGAGAATGGTTGCAGACATTTTCTTCACACTGAAAATGTTTTACAGTGCTGTTTATTTGTTGCAGAATTTTCAAAGGCTTTCATTGCTTGAGACAGAAATGTATGAAAGTAGTTCAAGAAGTAGACACATGCAATCATTTCAAAACTGTTTATTGTCAACTTCCAGTTGAACTGTTTGTTTTAGTTTGACGGCTGATGAAGCTGTGCCGTTATGTTCTAATTGAACTATCAAAGAGATATAACCCAGTTGAATGCTAATGGTTATAAAAAAAACACACAAGATCCAAGAAAACATTCAGATTCAGCATTATGATCGATGTTTTCTTGACAATTGTAAAAAGAATTTGTAATACTTTTTAGTTTAGCATACATTTGATTAATAATAAACATAAGTGCCTTTGATGCTTTCTTCATACTTCTTACTTGATCCTAAATAATGACTTACTTTGTATTTTTTGTAATTTAAGCAATTTAAGCTTGAAGTTCATTTGCTTTTAGCTTGAATTATTTCAGTTCTTTACTCTTTGCTCTTAATAAATGTGATTAAATGATGCCGGGCTCAGGCATAACTTGAAATGCTGAATCAAATGGAATTGTATTTTTTGATCTGAGCTTTATTAAACATTTTTGTTCATCTAAATTATTATTTACTGCGACAACATTTTTTGAAAAGTAATAACTAACACTTGTGGTTCAATTGTTTTTTTCTTTAAATTGGACATACTGAATTTAGAATTCTTTCACTTAATGATTTTTTTTTTTTAATTTAAAAAATGTACAATAAAATTAGATATAATGCAACTCACACTATCGTACCTAATAATCTTGTTTTTTTTTTGACACACCAAACCCCGTCCCACTTTTAGGGTCATGGCACAGAAATATTATAATATAATATAAGTTTGAGTAGAAGACATTTGTTTCGTTGAGAGCTCCTTCTCAGTCAGAAGGAAGTGAGCTGTTAGAGCCGTATGCATAATGAAAAACCACAAAGACACAAGAGTTATTATGTGCAGAAAGTCACATACCAGTTCAGCTGAGTTTTTTTCAAACAAATCAAAGAAATGACAGAAAACAACACGCTTTGAGTTTTAGATTTTTTTTTTATTGAACTCTTTTATTTAATTAGTATTCCCACATCTCAAATATCTTTCATATCTTTCGACTCACACCCACACAAAACATTGACATGGAGTCTGTTTTTTTTTGGAAAAGTAATATGTTTATGTCTACATTTGAAAAGTCCTTTTGTAAAGTATACAGTGTTCATGTAAAGCAAATATCTTTTCTTTGTATTACAGTATGCAAACAAGGGCAGTTTACAAAGTTTTTACCACCTCAGTTCACTAAGTGCACTTTTGGACACCAGCATTTATATTTTTCTACAAGGCCAAATACATACAAAAGTCCCTCAGAAAGTATTAGGCATTTGCAAGAAGCTCTCGAATCAGATTGAAGCAGAACGCCTCCTTTAAATCCTCCACATGTTTAAAATCGGAAACTACGTGTTGTCCAAAATGAAAGCAAACTAAGCTGTACACTAGTGTCTTATTGGTATCTCACCACATCATGAAAGAAAAGGTGGCTTTTTTTTTTGACACCAAGATTGCACAAACATCCCGATACTTAACACCCACTCTGCTGCTCACACAATAGCTGAAAGTCACAACTTTTACAACCAAGGTTACAACACCACCAGGCTTAGATAATGTCTGTTGTCATACAAACAGCTAAAGCTTAGGTATGTTGTCATACTAGATGTCATTGGAAAAATAGAAACTGTCGGCTAAGGTGGTCATGCAGAGTTCTGATGAGCATCGTCTTCCTTCCCTCAGCACGCTCAATACACTGACTAACAAACGTGTCTGTCCCCGCACTTTCTTTCCTTTCTCAGGCCGTTCAACACTCATTCCTCACCCTTCATCCTTTTTTAAAAATAATTTTTGTCAATTTCTCTAACCAGAAACCAATCTTTCCCATTCTTAAATAAAAATAAAACTGAGCAAAATAGGCAACGCACTCACATGTGCTTTCGTGTGTGCGTGTGTGTGTGTGTGTGTGCGTGTGTAGGTGTTTGTATGTTTGTCTGAATCTGTATGTACGCGTGCTGCAAATGTTATGGGTATGAGTAGGTTTTTCTTTCATCCAGTATACATTCTTGACGTTTTAGAAAAATAGAAACATTATCCAGGAAGCAGCTCCCTCGTGCGTCCCTTTGGCCTTGAGGACAGTTTTGCTGACAATCTGCAAGCAAATGACACATTGAGCTGTCAGTGGAAAAAATGGGGTCTTCTCCCATCCTCTTTCGAAGCATGTTTGCATCTTTTAACTGATCAGAATTGTGCAAAAGTTGAGAACAAACCTTCCCAAGTGGTCTATCTTTTGCCTCCTTTCTTTGTAGATGTCGGCATAACGTCTGAGCTCGGCTGAGCAGGAAACTGGTCCGTGGCAGATGGATCCTCTGCATGGTGTTTCTGAAATACACAGTGAATTTTAAAGAAAGAAGTACACAAATGCAACAAAAACAAAAAGAATCAACACCTTTGCATTCAGTGTTCATATAGATTTCCTTGAAATTATTTTGACAAATCAATAAGAAGAAGGTGAAGAGTGCATCACATGCAGCTTCATGCAGACAATGGAGAAATGTGTTTTTTTTTTATTTTCAATCATAAGCACATTTCATTCATTTATTATTGTGCATATCTGATTGATTGAGGTCTTCATGCAGCAGGCAGCTTTCTTACTTTAGACCTTGACTTTGACTTGCTCTTGCCCTGTAACAAATTTGACACTTTGGTTAAGATCAACAGATGTTTTGTGATCCATGAGGGGGTGACCGAAGACACACTTAATGTTTATCAGCAACCAACAGAGGGAGCCATCTACTGTAACAATAAGTTACAATAAAAACGAAACACATGATCTGCCTCATAAAGGCTTTCTAAAACCGGTCCCTCCACATTCACACTGAGGCACAGAGGGTATGATAAAACTCTCCCCATATGTTTGATGTCCTGTTGGGGCATGTCACATGAAGAACAATTAAAGGTGTTACACCGCATCAGGAAGTTACCCTCAGTTTAACAGTCCACTCTAAATCCACACCCAGAGGTTTTAGACAGCGGTCAACATGGCAGACCATCCATGTGGAAGTGTGTAGGGAGTAGTTTGAGAAAGACCTGTGAAGTGCTGTTAGCCAACAGTACATTTTTAGATCGGAGTTCAGCTTTAGAAAGGTTTTCATTTTAGGTCTGTATTTATCAGATTTCTATAAGTGGAATGTTAGACTTAATTGAACAATATGTAACTCTAACACAAAGCGTTTTAATGAGTATTGCAGTCCAAATTCAAAACATAAGAGAGAGAGCTGTGTTAAGTGTTTAACCAGCTCTACATTTTGTCTTTCTACGTTTCTAACCGCTCTCTAAAAGCATTTCCAATATTTATCCCAGTTTAACCACGTTTCTGGCGACGTTTCTGGCGAGGCTTTTTAGGTCAGTTAGAATCAGTTACAATATATCTGAACCGGTCTGCTTGCCCACTTTCATCGCTGCAACACCAGTTGGTTTGCCGTTTGCCTGGCAAAACAAGGGGTGCCCAAAACGGCTGCCTTACAACCACTTCCCTTCTTTGGTCAAGACGAATACTGACCACTCTGTATCGGCATCAAAACTTAAAAGGAGGACATACTGGCTGTGGTTGTTGACAGAGAGAGCACTTCAACATAGTATGTTTCCTTAATGTCTAATAGTTATTTTATGATTTAATCCCATTCATATCTTACACATTGGTCCTAAAAATGAAAACAGCTCATTCTAAGTCTTTTTAAAAAAACGTACATTCAGATCTAGTTATTATGTGGGTTATGACTCTATAAGTCTGTTGGGATTAACTGAAAGGGCCTTTCAGTGGGTTAAGACATGATCAGAGGTTATTGCAGAACAGAAAACAAATTGATTCGACATTTTCTGAGACATGTTTTACATTGATTGTAGGCAAAACACTGTCATTGGTTATGATGAATCATTTGCTGTATAGTTTAGAACATTCTGTAATACACTTGCCCATTAATGGAGCAACCGGTACATCCTGATCTTTGCACAGATCTTTTTACCTTTGGTTTTTCTGTTTTCGGTTTGAACACTGCGGCGTCTGGGAGCAGAGTTTTTGCCATCGAATCCAGGGCGGGACCGGGCATGGGCTGGAAAATAATATCATGATTAAATAAATGAGAAACGTGTGTATCAAAAGAATCAATTTCTAATTAATTCATGCACTATATGAAATGGACAAAAAAAACAAAACACAAATAGATCCCTTGTTCAAAGTGATATCTAAGAGGTCTGTCATAGCAGGAGGAGAATAGGCAGTACTGAATGTTATATTCGTTTTCATTTCATTTCTGTGTTACCTCTATGTGATCTGGAGGTTTAGACATTGCTGGTTCAGCTTTAGGAAGATCACAACGTTCCACGGGCTGAACCATAGGAGTGAAGTCACCGGCCAGCAGGTCCAGGGCTGTTTTATCATCCATAGTGCTCTACAGAGCAGAGGGTGACATATTATACTTTCTGCATGTTGCACATATTACAGTACATTATTTGACAATGCTCACAGATATATTGTGTGAGACTGTGTGTTTATGTTTGCATCTTTACCTCCTTGGGTGCTGCAGCTGCCTTTGCCTTATCTTCCGCCATTTTCTTGCAAATTAAATTGAACAAAATTAGACACACAGTAAAATGACTGTTACAGGAATAGTGTAAACGATCATGTCCCCACAATATGTGTCACGCTTTTGTTTTTGCACGAAATAGTCTTATTGAAACAAAAATGATAAGATCCATTAAACTCTCTCACAAAAAAATGCACCAGCACTTGTGAGTTGAGCTTGAAGAACCTTCCTACCAAAACTTGAAATCAGAAATGAAGTGTTACATCCACTTTAAAAGAGGGATAATTTAATGGAAATCACATTCATTGAGTCCATTCATCTATTCAAATCATATATATTTGTTTACAGGGTAAGCGTCCTTGTTTGTTGGATATTATAATGCTAAAGAAATGAACACACAGATAAAGATCTCAGCTTACCTTCAGATCTTCCTCAGTGGGCCTATACTCTGGCGGCAGCGTGTCATCTCTCTCTCCCATCTTAATCAGCTTCTCTTCAACAGCCTTTTTCTCCTGTAACAGCCAGACACATCAAGACAGCTATAGTGACTGGTGAACTTTTTCTATGAGCACTCGGAAATTGAAAATGTAACCAAAAGAATGAAGTGATTACATCAACAATGTCTTTGACAGGAACTGGAGCGGGCATGGGGGCAGGTTGGATATCCTTCAAGGTGTCTGACAGAGCATCCATGGCATTGTCTACTCCGGCTAGCAGCTGTATGCACAAAGGAAGATGGATAGTCAATGTAGTGGCATGTATATAAAATGGGTTTATTTGCTTAACGTATGTTGTACTTGTGTGTTTACCTGTGGGTCTGTTTCTGTGGGAACACAAACCGCAGACTTCACAGCTTTAGCAGCAGTGGGAGTAACAAAGTCTCCCGCCAATGCATCCAGAGCAAAGTCTGCAGAGGGCTAAGGAAGTGAAAGCATAAAGATCATTAATCATGCTTAGGTACCATTATAATTGTGTCTCTTTTCCAATGCAGTATATCTGGGCATGTGTCATTGAAAGCTACAGTAAGCAGTGATGGATCTAGAGTGTACCTGTGCAGGAGGAGCTGAGGGAGTGACAACAGGAGCCTGGACAGCAGGAGCTGCTGAGGAGGTCACAAAGTCTCCAGACAAAATGTCCAGAGCGTCTCCTGTGTCCATGGTGGGCTGCAGGAGGAAGAGAGGAGGTAAAATGTTGACAAAATCTGACTTTTCCCTCCCCTAATGGACCCTGTTTTATATAAAATATGGTTAAGATTTATGTGAAGGATGTTTTATAAAATGTCAAAAAGTGATCGCTGATGATGAACTTCAGTGTTTTATCCAACTTATAGAGAAACTATAAACTATAAACCACAATCTTCACCCAGATCTTCAACAGAACTCTGGAACTGTGTGAAGTGCCCTCCTGCTTCAAATGCTACACCATGATCCCACTCCCCGAAGAAACCCTCTATCACAGGACTAGAAGACTGCAGGCCCATCACATGTACGGTCATGGAGTCGTAACAGACACTGGTGTTGAGCCATCGACTTTCTAAATGACAGCAGGTACACGGCTTATTAGTCCGGGCGCTGCATGTGAGGCGGACTAAAAGCAATGGCGCCCCCCAGGGGTGTGTTCTCTCCCAACTGCTCTTCTCCCTCAACACAAACGACTTCACCTCAGGGGACGTTTCTGTTCATCTCAACCTATGCACACTGCTTTAATGTAAATGCTGTAAATACTATCTACCTCTTGTAAACTAACCTCTTTCTTAGATTATTACATAATTATTATCATGTTAACGTCAGCATTCTTTGCACTCCTTATCTCTGTACTACTGTCTTAGGTAGGCTTGAACATGTACTTTAATTGTAAAATATGTAATATATAATGTTTGTTCATAGAGAGCACCATTTACTAGAGTCAAATTCCTTGTATCTGTAAACATACCTGTCCAATAAAGCTAATTCTGATTCTGAATGTGTCCCAGTCTCACCTCAGGTTTGGGAGCAGGCAGCTTTTTCAGTTCCTCCTTGTTAAACCTGTAGTCTGGATGAATGGAGTCATCTCTCTCCCCCACAAGCACACCTTTCTCCTTCTTGTGTTTGTCCTCCTGTGAAGTGAGGAAGGAAGAAAAGGAAGGTAGGAACATCACTGCTAGGGTTACAACACACAACATACCAACACAGATCAGAATCACAAAGGGGGGAATTGTGCTGACCCAGTTCACTACAATATTTGATTTGGCAAAAGAAGAACAATGTTTGTTTGCTGTGTGTTTTGTGATTGTGTGTGTGTGTGTGTGTGTGTGTGTGTGTGTGTGTGTGTGTGTGTGTGTGTGTGTGTGTGTGTGTGTGTGTGTGTGTGTGTGTGTGTGTGTAACATACCGAAACCATGTCCTCAGGGCGGACTTTGGGGAGTTCAGGTTTGGGTTTGTCAGCTGGTAGCGAGCTACCAAGAGCACTTAGAGCATCCAGAGACATAGGGTCAGCCTGGGGAGAGGAGGGGAGATGTTCTTATATTATTTCACCAATATAGTTTTAGTAATAAACCTCAGATAGTCTTGAAAAATGTCTTACAAGTGGAAAGAAGGTAAAAGGAAACGGGTTGAATATGGTCATATGGTCTACAGGTCATTTTGTATACTCATGGTTACCTTATCAGATTTTGCTTGTTTAGGTTGGAGGACAAGTTTCTCCTGTTGATGAACCATTTTCTGCAAAGACACAGGGACATACAGTTGAAAATGCATGGATAGAGATACACAGCCGAAATTACAAATGTATTTACTATATTATACACATGCTGAAAAAAAACATTATGTTCAATAGAAATGTAATCACACACACACACACGAAACAACAGCTTTACCTCTTGTGTCATCTTAACAGATGGAGGGATGGGAGCCTGGACTCCTGACGCTTTAGTTGGAGCTACAAAATCTCCAGAGAGGACATCCAGAGCGGACACATCCTCCACTTTACACTGTTGAACAAAGACATCAGCTTTCACTCATACAAGTAGACAAGACGAGCTTTTATGTACCGTCTTACATTTGAAAAAGGCTTCAAGGTGAATTAGAACAGAGTGAAAATACAATGACATGGTTTCTCAACAGAAGTTAGACTAGAAGATCACCTGTAAGCCCATTTATTTGTGCTGAGCATGAAGCAAGGTGACATTTGCTTATCTGAGCCAAAAGTCTTGGAACCACTTGAAAAACACTAGTGTTGTGTGTTAATAAGTAAGCCTCAAACATGCCGGTAGTGAAATAGTTCACTTTGGATAGCGCTGAGTTAGCATTTTCCATGGATACATTTTTTTAATGTTATGCTTACTGCTGCTCCTGGCTCTACTCATGCTTCAGTTTGAAGCAGAAAAACAAGAGTGGTATCAATATGCTTGTCCAACTGTCATCAAGAAAGACATTTTTTTAAATAAAAATGTTTAACAAGGGGAGAAAATAGTTAAAAAGCAAGAGAATAGAGTGTTTAACTTAATGTACTATGATTTTCATAACACTTATATAATCTGTATGATGGGAAAGAAAGTGAAAGACACATGGACACAAAAAACATGCTGGAGCTTAAATACTAAATATGTGCATAGTTATTAAATAAGTAGAACACAAGATGTCACAAACTGCTGTTTCAGTTTGTCAGCAGATATTATTTCTCTGTAGTTACCCCACAGTTCAAGTGTCCTGATATCAAGGATATTTATGTGTATCAGAAATTTCACCTAACAAAAAGTCTAACAGTTAAAAGACATTTTTCAACCTAGATTTTAAAACTTAATGTTTCATATATACAATAGCATTTCACCTGGACAGAAGGAGCTGCTGAGGGGGTCGCAAAGTCGCCAAGCAAAATGTCCAGAGCCTCGCCCGTACCCATGGTGGGCTGCAGGAGAAATGAGAGTGTTTATTGTACGTTTACATCATTGGTCATAACTAAACAAATTGAAAGATAAAAAGAGCCTCAAAGTTATTTTGCCCAGTCTCACCTCAGGTTCGGGAGCAGGCAGCTTTTTCAGTTCCGCCTTGTTAAACCTGTAGTCTGGATGAATGGAGTCATCTCTCTCCCCTACAAAAACACCTTTCTCCTTCTTGTGTTTGTCCTCCTGTTAACAGAAATGAGCGTGTGAGATACTGAATCACAATGGTGTTCATATTCCAACAGCATGAGTGTGTCTGCAATGAAAAGCTGTAAACGAAGCTGCGAGTGTTCCTACCGAGACGATGTCCTCTGGTCTGACCTCGGGGAGTTCAGGTTTGGGTGCGTCTGCAGGCAACATGTCTACCAGAGCATTGAGAGCATCCAGAGACACAGGAGCAGCCTGGAAGAGAACAGGAGATCTCAATAATTAGATGTTTCACAGGAGAAACAACAAGGGGGCAAGAAAAGCAGAGGAAATAAAACTCTCACCTTGTCGGTCTTTAACTTTCCATCAGTGGCATCCTTTCTGGCTGCAGCTTTCATATCGACAGCAGGAACTGCACAGGATTCAACTTTCTGTAGAACCAACACAGAACGTTGTCTTACTTGAGTTAAAGGTGGCACTTAAAAACATGATCAGAATTGGTATAATACAGTTTTCTCAAATCTTTTGATCCCTAACGACTCCTGCTGATGTTATTATTTTGGATGATACAACCCAAAGCTACTACTATTATTGAATCTGTTTATTTCAGATATTTTCATGTCCAAAAGAAGACCTGGAGTGAGCAATACAAGAATCACAAGTTAGATCTCATCTAGACTTCCTCGTTGTCTGTGCTTAATGCTTGAATAATGACTTTTCTCTGTGACTCAGGACTCAGGCTCCGTGTTGATCTGTGTTTTATGTCCGGAACGTTTGAACTGTGCGGCTGCTTGCTTTGGCCAGGACACCTTACTAATGAGTTTCTTAGTCTCATTAAGGTTTTCCTGGTTTAAATAAACTTGAAATAAATTATATAACTAACTACCATGTTTAAAGTGTAACCAGGATGGTTTAAACTACGTTTGGTTAAAATGTTGCCTGCTTAACATCAACGTGTGGAAATAGCGGCTGTGAGGATGTTAGCATGCTAATTTTAGCATGTATGTCATAAATTTAAATTGCAGAGGTCACTTCACAATTCAAGTGACTGAATATCATTATACCTAACCTTACTAGTTTTCTTTTGGCACACCAGCATGCTGTTTCTGTTACTGTTCACACTTGGATAAGAAGAAGTGCAATTCTGAAGACAATGAGCCCTGATGACCATTCCTTCCATCATTCGCAAAAAAAATGTGGATATTCTATCCTCATGACATCAGATTCATAATATTGTCATGCTTGAATTAAACAGACTGTAGCAGCCAGTGTAAGATATGTCCCAGTTTTGACTCTGGAAAGAAGTGATGTCATCTTTAAAATATAATCAAGTCAGGTAAGTGAAGAAAAACTACATTTTTTTTGTTGTCTTCATTTTAAAACATACCATTATCTTTTAATAGTAAAGTAACATAGGTGTGCTTCTGAACTAAGAATAGGCAACATTAGCAGAGTGTTAGCTTTCTCTACCTTCGCAGTTGAAGAAGTAAGTCCAGCCTCCAAAGAGAAATCATCCTTATCCATCCTTCCTTTTTTATCAGCAGGGCGAGCAGGAGCTGGAGGGGCTTTCTACAACCACCATCAAGAATGACAATTCAAGAAATGTTATATATGCAAGCACAACTGTGGTTTTATTATTTAATATATATATATATATATATATATATATATATATATATATATATATGTTTGCATTTTATGAGCAGTGTCAAAACTACGATGTACCTGAGGAGGAGGAGCTTTGACTGTAGGAGCTGCTGAGGAGTCCACAAAGTCTCCACACAAAATGTCCAGAGCCTCATCTGTGGCCATGGTGGGCTGCGGGGGGGGATCAATCAATATCATGCAGTTAGTGTTAAGTCCACATTTGTATTCGTAAAAGTCTTACAGATTTCATCTCACCTGGGGTTTGGGAGGAGGCAGTTTTTTGAGCTCCTCCTTGTTGAACCTGTAGTCTGGATGAATGGAGTCCTCCCTCTCTCCTACAAACACACCCTTCTCCTTCTTGTGTTTGTCCTCCTGTAAGGAGAGAAGTGATTTTTTTTTCAGAATGGAGGAGATTCATCTGCACTCAACAAGAGAATATGGTGGATTTTGCTCCTACCGAGACGATGTCCTCTGGTCTGACCTCAGGGAGTTCAGGTTTGGGTGCGTCAACTGGCAATGTGTCGACAAGAGCACTGAGAGCATCCAGAGACATAGGAGCAGCCTGAGCAGAAGACAGGAGAAATCATGTATAATCCACTAACCCGTGGCATAGTCTTTTACTTAGAAAATATAAAGACTAGTGGGTTGGACTAGTAGATCTCACATCATCAGTCTTGGGCCTGCTCGTTGCTTTGGCATCCAGTCCACTCTCCAGAGAGAAATCACACGATACCGCTACCGGACTCTCTATCTTGGCCTTTTTCTCAGCAGGACTAGCCATACAACCACCAACAGCCACAGTGGGAGCTGCTTTCTACAACAGAAAAAGACACAACTTTATCTTCAAGTAGCCTCACAAAGTAAAAATAAAACATTCTCATCTGAAAATTGCAGAGCACTTTGGCACATAAAGTTCTCAGCAAAGTGTTTCTGTAAATTGTAAGACAAAGATCTGAGCAGCCAATAGGAAAGACAAAGAGGGTGTGAGATTGTTGTACCGCAGAGAAGGAGAAATCATCTGACACTTTCTGCATCTTTTTATCGGTGGAGGGAGCAGCTGCAGGGGGTTGAGGTTTCTGTAACAGAAACAAGACATGAAGCAACAATACTTTTACCTTGTTTAGTCGGATGCCATCATAATGACAGCCTTTAAAGTATTCGTCTTACCTTCACAGGAGCTGGTGCAAAGTTAGCTGGGCCAGCAGAGGCAGCACTGATGCTTTCAACAGAGTCCTTTTTCTTTATGATTCAAAAAGAAAAAACAAGATGAGGATTTACTAAAATATCAAATTCTAGGCCTTAAATTTCATACAAGACTGAATCATCCATTCATATGTCTCCAACAGAATGGACTTTTGTCGGAGTATGAAAGCGGCAGATTGACTCCTAACTGAGTGCTACATGCTTGAAGACTGACCTCTTGCTTCTTGGGTGCTGCTGGTGCAGATGAGGACATGAATCCTGCTGTAAGGGAATCCAGGGCTTCGTCTGTGCTCAGAGGTTTCTGAAAGGACAAAACAGAGCAGGCATCATCACCAGGTAACAACACAACATCTCACACGATCAGACATTTAAAAGCTAACAATAAACTGATCAGAACTCTTTGAGAACTCTTTTTCATAGCAGCAACATGATCCTCCACTAGAGGGCATGTCCTCCCAAGTCAAAAGCAAACAAAAAGGCAAAATAATGCAAACCAGACTGCATATACCAACAGCGGAGGAAAAGTACAGACACTCCCTTCACATTCCATGAAGACAAATGAATTCAAAATAACCCCTCGTAAAATACATGTTCCAAACATTTAACTGCTTAGATTTAGCAAAAATGATGATCAGACTCAAAACTCACACCGGAGGAAAGGTATCTGGGTGGAATGGGATCGTGAGACACAGAACCAGAGCTTCTTGCAAGACAAGATGACAAAGTGGGAGTCGACAGTTGTCTGTGATGCAAGTGTGGGTGTGTTGAGGGTGAGTAAACAGCAACCTGAATCTGGGTGGATATCAAAGAGTGTGACTACACTTCTGTGTGTGTGTGTCCATGTAGTTGCACGTTCATATATATGTGAGTGTTGGGTTTAGTCAGATGAAGGCCAAGAGCTTAAGAGAAAAAAAAAAAGGGAAGGTGGACCATGAGTCGACTCCCACCAGTGTAATGCAACATTCCCCACTCTAGAGGAACCACCAGATCATAAAGTGGAAACACCTCTTCCTGAATCTGTGTGTAATGTGAGTTTATTCATGTGCTTACACACGTTTCAAAATGTTCACAAAGAGTTTGTTTTTTTAAGTTTATAGACTTTCTTTGCACCTTGTCAGAGTGGAAATAAGCAGAATTGTTCACTTACCGGAACATCCTTGGGTTTCCAACCTGCAGGAGGTGGAGCCTAGAAGAAAAAACAAAACAGGAATGAAACTAATAGAGCCTCAAAGACTCAGTTCACCAAGATTACAATGAATCCCCTGTTGTGTAGTGCCACAACTTTTGATGCAAGCTCCTGGTTCTCTTCTGATTTAATGCTTAAGACACATGTCAGTTGATTCTAATAAACACATGCAGTTGATACTCAGTCCTATTCATCTGTGCCACAGCACATTGGAAGTGAATGGAGACTTGTTTTGCGATGAAAGATGACACTTTATTACATTACATCTACTGAAAAAGTAACCAGCAAAGCAATGCTACCTAGTGAATCATAAAAGTTAATGGAGAGGAGGATGCTGGGTAGAACTGACCATATCTTCCCGTCTGTACCCTGGTGGAAGCGTGTCGTCTCTTTCTCCCACTCTGACACCCTTCGTTGCGATGACGTCATGCTGTGACACATGCAACGAACAACGTTACTCAAACCCGCTCCATGCTGCAGCTCAGTCCGATCATTAGTAGCTAGGTTTAACAAACACACTCAGAGACGATAGCACACAGTGACTATGCTGTACCTCTTTGACCTCTGGCCCTGTGTAAACGGGCTGTTTGGGGACGACTGGATCAGCTGATGGTAATATGCTGGCAAGGGCATCGAATGGATCCACTGCAGGTGCCTGCACATGCAACAGTAATCAGCACTCCAGAGCAAGCAACATGCTAACCTAAGCTACCTCATACTGCTTTAGTAAGTCTTTACCTCTTTGGCTCCTGACGCTGCTTTTGGAGGAACCTCCACCTGAACCTGAAACACAGAGATAGAATCAGTGCACACACCTTCACCACATTCAGCACATGGACATGATTAGTATGACTGAGATTGATTATGACTTGATCAACTCAAACCAAGCCGTACCAGTCTTTGTTACTCATGTTCAGGAAGACTTAAAATGTGACATTTGATAATATCCTTTAGACATTTCCCCAAAGTCTGACACCAATAAATAAATCTCACCAGGTCCTGACGGCACAGTATTGATCTATTCATCCAGAATACCATACAAATATCCAACACAACACATCCATTACAATTTTACATAGAGGATGTAAGTATCACACAGCCTCCACCCTTAGGTTTCATTATCGTCTACCTTTGTCTGAGTCGGTTTAGCTGCTTCCTTCTTTCCCTGCCCATAGCCATATCTAGCTGCAGTCGTGGCTGCTGCAGCAGGCTTTGATGTTTTAGCAGGATCAACTTTGGGCAAATCAGCTGCGAGAGTTGTGATTTCAGTTGCACTCTAAAATACAATAATTTGAAATCTATTATAGCCCATCTTGTGTTTTACATGAACAAAAACAGAAATATACCCAAATAATGAATTAAAAGACACCACCATGGTAAAAAAAAAAAAAACTACAGGGAAAAAAAAGCATGACCAACTGGAAGACAGTCAAAGTGTCAGCAGGTGCCGCGCAAAGAAACCAGCACAAGAAGACAAACCAACACACTTTAAGACAACTCCTTCCCATTTGTTTCCTCTGGCTGACTCAGATGTCAGATGTGTTGGAGGTGTTGCACTGTTACAATAACAAGCACAGGCATGCTTGGTGAAGGGCCACAGCACGGAGAACAAAAGTCCTTTATACATCCCCACTGGTCATATCCAAAGAAGAAAAGAGAAGGCCAAAGCAGTGAGTTGTTCTTTAAGAAACTCCCAAGGGAAGTACTCAGTCATCCTCAGGCAAGGAAAGAAAACAAAACCTGATAAAACTGCAACACAGAGAAAAAAGAAAGAAAGCCCTAAATCCATACCCCAATTCAGGGAGTGGAGGGAGTTATGAAAAGAAAGATTCTGAGGAACCCTTAGCCCTTGGTTCTACCTTGGCTGTGCCTTTGGGTGACTCTTTAGGTTTGGTCACAGCAGTGGATGCCGTCAAGCCAGCGACTCCAGCTGTTCCAGCAGCAGGATAAGGAACTGCAGCAGCGGCTTTGACTTGGGACACAGGTGCAGTCTACAAATGTGTTTCCAAAGGAATGCTTATGAACACAAGGATCAATTACCAGAATTTGTAAAGCCCTTAAACATTTAGACAATAGATGTGGACCACTATTTACCAGTGTTAGTAAAAAACAAAACAAAAAAAAAGGAGTACAGTCAGTGATCTCTGGTCAGATCTGCCACAAACATGATTAACCAATTGGGTACCATCAAACTAATCTGACCATTGATCAGTGTGTTTGGTTCAGTGCTTGTACTTCTTAGTACATTTGAACCAAACTTTGTAAACTTTACAGTACTACTGACCTTTTTCAAACAACATAAATGAATTCCTGCCTCTCCAAGGCAGTTTCGGATATCTGAAATTTGTTAGAAACTGCAGTGAGTGGAGAATGTTTAAAATCTTAGGTGTATTTGCCAAGCCCTGAATATGAGAGTCAGCTGCTTAGAATTGTGTTAACTAGCTTTAACCCTTAACAAACCATAGGTAAATGTTTGCAACAATGCAATGCATTAAGCGAACATGGATGTTATGGAACCAGCATGTGAATTTGGCAGTTTCTTTACGAAAGCTGAAAGCAGCTGACGCATAATTTCTAGATGTTGGAGTTGACCAAACCTCGTGGCACAGCCCACAAGAAACCTTTTCTTAACTTCAGTTTCTGTTCACATGACATGACAACCTGACAGGAACACAACCTCAGTGAAAACTAACGTTGATCAAATATTCAAGAATTGCAAAATAATCCAAGATGTCGGGATAATGGTCAGCAGTAGTGTAATAAACAGAAAATGCGCAGATCAGCACGGTCATCATTATGACATCATTACCTGGGACATCTCCGTAGGACCGCCCCTCACCCCAGCTGATGTCATGTCAACAATAGTAGCCTCAGTTGACGACATGTCAATAACAGTAGCACCTGCTGGCGTGGTGTTAGTCTACAAACCAAGGAGCATGTGTTTAAAGAAAGTCATAAGAGTGTTATTCATGAAGTCAGCACCAAAGTTTGTCCCCAAAGCTTGAAGATATGAGAGCTTAAGAAAGGTGGTACATCAAGTGCTCAGCTCCTGATGCATGAAAAAGGTCAAGTGACTGAATCAGGGTGACAATTCACACAAAGGTGTTGCTAAATAAAAGAAGATGAAGCCAGTGAAGAAGAGGAGACAAGAGCTGCCCAACGTGTGAAGAAGAAGCAGTGATTCATGTCACTTCACTCCAAAACAGCCAAAAGCCCCCTCCACTTTTAATGAAGCATCCAGACTCTGTCTACCTCCGCTTTGGCTTTAGTTGCCTCTTTTCCTGCTGTCCCAATGGAAGCACTTCCTGCGACTCGGCCAGCTGCTGTGGTAACCGGACCAGGTTTTGATGCCATGGCAGTTCCTGACGAAGCCTTCTGCAACGCATCAGGTGTGAAAAATTGACCATATTTTATCTCTGGATGCTTGCTGTATATTTTTTTTTGCAGTAGTTCCATACGTACTTGTTTCATGAGAAAATGAACAGAACACAAAGTGGTGGAAAAATGACTTTGTTGACATCATTGTGACATCATCAGGTTTATTTTGACTTGGGCTTGTGAAAATTTCTAACAAAGACATTTCATAACTGATAGCATTAAAAGAAATGATGGTTTAGATGCATTTCTTGAAGAAGAGAAAAATAGTTACTTTATTCATCCCAGTTGTTTAAAATGAGAGTTTATCACTTCATTACCGGTTACTCATACACACAAACGCCTCATGGTACAAATGTAAGGTTTGTGGTTTAAGGGTATGATCCATGTGTCCTTCCACACTAAGCATATCTGGTGGTATCAGGTCAAATGACTTCCTCTAAAAAGCAAATGTGTTTTCTCAACTTTGAGAAATATGCAGTAGGCCATTCCAACAAATCAGGGCTACAACCTTTAACTTGCAGAATTAACCACCAGCAGTTACATGGAATAAACACAAGGTACTTGTTAAGTGTTGTGAGCTAAGCTATCGGTGCTTTGCACTTAATGTGGTGACACTAGACTGAAGCTAACCCCAAGAGGAATGTAGTATGAAAGCTAAGCTACAGCAACAAAAGAAGATAAATAATTATCATTTGGACCTTCTTGCCTTTATGTGATAGGACAGCTGAATAGAGACAGGAAATGTGGAGAAACCAGAGTTGGGTAGACATGCATCAAAGGGTCGAAACCTGCGGCCAATGTGACGAGAAGGATACATGGGTGCCTACTCTTTTTTGTAAAAATAGACAGCAACTCCTTCACCGTGCTACATTGAAAATGTAGCTGAACTAGCTACTTGTTAAGCAGCTGTCCTGTCTACAACTGCTTAGAATTGTCCCTTTCGAGTTTTAAACCTAAATGGAAGAGCGATATTTAAACTATGTAGGTAAAGGTAAAGAGAGATCTTTAAATGTGCTCTGTTATAATATACAGTCTGTATAGTCGTATACACTGCCCTGAAACATGAGCAGCTGTACCCCTCTATAGGGAGGTATAAAAGTGGCAGTAAGGTCAGCTGCTAACAGGAGTTACACACAGCTGAAGGTTAATGACTTAGTATCAAGTCTGGTCTATAAACAGCATATTTTAAAAGACATAATTCCCTTAGATTACATTGTGTTAGTCACTATTTTAAATACTGTAACACCTAGTTCAAATATCCAAACCAAAGCCTTTTTCTCTACAAGCCAGGTACTAAAATGGCTCATGTTAAAGCCCAGTCGTTGAGGAACAAGTGAAAGCTCTTCAGGCCCGTCCTGTTGAGTTGTTAGTTAAAACAATGTCTGTGTTTGTAGATTTAAATTAGGCTTCAAGTGCTGAACTGTAGAGAGCAGCAGACTTAGCAGTTTTGGCTAAAAGGATGAACATGTCTCTTAAACTGGGCAGAGGATTAATGAAATGCTGTTTATATAAAACAACTTCAAAAGCCTTTGTTGAAGTCCGCCAACTGTTTTCGAGCAACAGAAGTCAGGCTGTTGTGTTAACAAGAAAGAACATTAAGCCATTCAAAATATGAATGCTTTCTACCCAAGTTCCTGATGCAACTCACTTCAGTTCTATTCAGAGTTCTATTTAAACAAACATTCAGCTGAAAATCATGCCAATCAGCATGAATGTACAGCACCTTTCATCCATTGTTTGAGAGCACAGTTAAAGGGTTAATGGACTTCCCTTTAGCTGAGAAGCTGGGTGTTAACTCTTTTGTGTTTGAATGGGAGGAAATGGAACTTTTTCTTTACGCTGCTCCTGCTCAGCTGACATCTCAACCTGTTTATTGTCTCAATTTACTTGGAATGAAAAGCTGCAGTTTAGTGGAACAGGGCAGGAAATACTACATGTAGTCCAGATAGTGTGTAGGTCAGAGGTGAGTTGTGGTTTCTTCAGAGAGAGAGAGAGAGAGAGAGAGAGAGAGAGAGAGAGAGAGAGAGAGAGAGAGAGAGAGAGAGAGAGAGAGGCTAAAGGGTGTAGAGGAGGAATATTTGATACCTCAAATTGTGCAGGCTTCACGGTGGAGACCTGAGCTGCCGGTTTGGGCGTGGCCTCACTGGGCTGCGACTAGAGAGAGACAGAGGTGGAGAAAAGTTAAGTCTGAGTGAAAAATCTAACAAGTTACATTGATAATCGTTTGGAGGGGAACTTCCTGGTTTCACAAAAGACAATATAATTGGAAAACAAAACATGCCATACAGCTAAACATGATGGAAAACATGCTGAAACACTCGTCCACAAAACTTCCAGCTGTAGTAAAATAGAACAAAAAGGCAGTTGGGCAAAAAATACTCATTCAGAGCTGCAAAATGCAAACAAGCGTATCCATCTTACTGCAGTCAGAGGTGGTTGATTCAAGTGCTACATTCCAGACCAAAGGGTGTGGCTTGTTTGACAGAAAGAGAGCAAAGAGACCGTGTATTGTTGTTTTCTGTGGTTGCCCCAGCAACTGACAACAAACACTATCTTACTGTATAATTTACACTTCAGCTGATGTCACAAAGTGTATAAAAAAACACACTGATATAACCATCCTCAAGGACAGCCCAACAAGGACAACCTTTGACTTCCACGTCTGAGGATTTTGATGAAGTCCTTTTTTTCACATGCAAACACCAAAGAAACATAAATGACTGTGCCCACAGTGCTGCACTGTACCTCCCTGCACACACTGCTGGGTGCTGAGACCTTTGTCTCATATTTCCTTTTGATAAGATTTGAATTTGCACATGTACTTCAAGAGGCTTTGATGCAAAAACGAGGCAGCATGTCGATGCAGTGTACTCGTGTGTTCATGCATCATCTACTATAAAAAGGTTTGTTTAAGCACTACAATTCTGAAAAATGTATACCGGCAGCTGGCTACTACAACTGTGAGTATCCTGTTTGGTCTATTGTCTTTGACTTTTTCCCAAGTTTAAAGAGCCATTCATGCAACACACAATCCAATCACTTGTACTGCTGCTTTCAGCATTCAACTTACTTTATAAAGGAAAATATGACAGCCTATTAGCCTGATTAAGATCTTTTTGTTTCTTAACCTCTGTTCAATTAGAGTCATGTGTAAGACAGAAGCTTGAAACCAGCTTGTGAATTTAAATGAGCGGTGTAAGACTAGCAAGTGTATTCACCATATTCAGGAGCTATGCTTCAAGTTAGTTCTGACCAAGTATTGTGATTGGACAAGAGGCATTTCATGAGTGCTGTTATAGAGAACGACATCACTGGAGCTTTTCACAAGTGTATCACTCCATATAAGGCTGGTCTTCTGCATACTGTGTTAAACATGTCAGCAGAAAATAGCCTGTTTCTACAGCAGAAATGAACATGCTTACAGCCTGGTCTAAAAAATGAAATAGGTCTGATTAGCTCATGTCTCCATCAGCACACACTATACCAGCGGTGAATTTTTTGATAACTCATCCATTTTTGTTTTTATGAAGGAGAAGCGTTATTTTACAATAAGGCGTGTAGCTGACCTGATTGACATGTTGGTGCAATGTAACTGTTTGTCAAGAGGCTTAAAACCCGCCTCAGCTCCAGCTCTTAAAGGCTGTCGTTGGATTGACTGAAAGTTGAGGCTTTGTCGATCAATATGTACAGTCTGTGATTAAAAAGTAAAAATAAAATTCCATCAAGCTAAGAAGCTGGTCTGTGGTAACCATTGACACAAACAAAGTAAGACTGCTGGAGAATGTGTGTGTTTCTTGGCAACAGGTCAGTTTAAGTTAAGATCTGAGACTCATTGAATTGGTGGAGCCAAAAAAAATGATAATCTGTCATCGATTTTCACAGTTTTCTTCTCTAATTAGGATGTTACACTGTTATATAAAAGTCATATCACACTCGAGGTCGACACGTTGTAGTGAATATAAGCAATGCTGTGACTCACAGCAGTGATAACCACAGCCTTCGACCTAATCACAACAGTGCTGATAGTCAGTACATCATTTCCTCTTATTTAATATTGCTTTATTAATATAAACAGGAAGTCCTTCCTAAATCAAATAATAGAAGGGAGCTCTTCATTTGTGTGTAAAACATTTATTTGCCCATTTCTAACAGAATTATGTCAGAACACATTAAAACATAAACAAGAAAAAAATATCCTGTGCTCCAAAACATGGACAGAACCAGCCAGACAAACTTGGTGTGGCCTGGTCTGTGTCCCTTCAGTACTTATTTGTTTCAATTCTAAATTATAAGATTGTATAAAAAGTTGTATTTGGTAACAGCCTGATTGGTAACAGACTTATGAAACCAACATTGTTTTCATTTTCTTTTTAAGAATTTGGTTATAGTATATAATTGGGTCATTGACTAGCATACTCACTGATAGTCCATACCACAATTCTGATACTGCTGCCAGTAAGCTACCGAAATATTGATCAATGTATTGATCAGGGTAATGTATCCATCAGGCACTGTGGCACACTTAAAGTCCTGGACCTTTGTATTGTGTTGCAACAAGGCACACCATCAACAACAGCTACCTACAATATGATTGAGATGTTTTCTGCTATTTGGAGCGTTTACACTTAAGGTTTTTCCAATAAAAACCAAGACATAAGAAACTGGAATGATACATAAATGAATCGCTTTTAATAATAATAATAATAATAATAATAATAATAATAATCCATTTATTTTATATAGCGCTTTTCTAAAAACTCAAAGACGCTTTTTCTTTGAAGTGAATCGAAAAACCTTCACACTGCCGCCTGTAGAGTTTTTGACTGAAAACGTGTGAGAACAGTGACACACTGTATTGGTGTTAAAAGCTCTCACCCTTTAACATCAAAACGGCTTAGTTTAAAGCTTTCTAATGGGATCAAGAACAGCATCACTTAGTGTATTTATGATGCCAATAATCTATCATACAAGTTCTTTAAAATACCTCAAGTCAATCAAGGTTCAACAAGTGCAGTACTAAATAAACTCCTTTTTGAAGGCAGCTAAGCATAATGTTCAGTGTTTGTTAGGTGTGCAGTGATCTCCAGGTGGAGCCCAGCATGCTGCAGAGCCAAGCCCAGTTATTTCAGGCTTTACGAATAATAACCACAGAGCCTCCACCCCACTGACATCAGGTCAGAGTTTCACATCCAGCCCAATCCATTGTGTATCTTTTTGTCATAAAACAGTCCGATCTAATCAAGCCAGTTGGTTAACATACTTTTTTTCATGCTAATCACACAAGGTCGTAAGCTACATGGTCCAAAGCTAAAGTCCTTTTACAGTTTTGTGCTTATGTATTTTTATCTTATGTCATTCCTGACAGAAGCTGTAGAGTCCTCTGACCCTTAACATATGTCTACCAAACAATCATCATCACAGGTTTAAGCACCTGTTAGCCTCCGAGTGAGTTAACCTGTCAAAGCAGCTGTGCATCACGTTTTGCATTAACACTTAGCTGGCAGGTTGTAGTGCAAAGCCAGTATGTATATCTGTGATTGACTACAGGGAGTGAAAATAAGACAGAGATGAACCAGAGGAAGGATTGACACTGAGATTCAGAGCATATTATGAGCTGCAACACATTTAGAAATGATTGCTGCTCCGTGCTGTTAGTGATTGGCTCACATGCTGGTGTTACATTTGTCACAAATAAGGTCACATCCCAGTGCAGGGTTAGCACATTTAGTGGTTTCTCTGACTTTGCTCCAACTAAACTGAACAACAACAACACTTTTCTCCCAGCTCCCAATTTTCATGGAATGAAAAAAGCGATCCCAGAATATTTTTATGCAATACATGATTTAAATCTCGAAAGATTTAAATCATGTATTGCATGATAACAGCACAGGTCTTAGATTCACCTCTTATTGTGACCTGCCCAAGTCACACCTATGTCATCATCATGTGGTCTAATTATTTTCTTGATATGCCAGACCTGTCTGGCAGAAAAATGATCAGATCCAAAAAGAAGTGCTCACTAACTTGGCTAAAGTAAATTTTCAGCTGATCTTTAAGATGTTAGATTGTTTGTGTGCAAAGAAAATATGTTATAACTCATTTAATATAGGAACAAAATATATTTATATATTTATTTATTTATTTTTATTTTTGATTGGCACGTTTCAAACCATAAACATGTATTTCAAAATCCCACTCTGTACCTTAAACTGTAAAAATCTGCTGAATGTAGAAAGGGTATTCCATATTTTTCTGTCACAAATGCGTTTATTATCAACTGACTGAATATCAGGCAACATAATGCTTTTCTGAAAGAGTAAGGAGGAAGTGGCACTGGGGAGGAAGTGAGGTCACAGGAAGTCAGGGCATCCCCCCCCTGCCAGAGGGGTAGTCATGTTACTCCTGTAACCACAGTAAATATTGATTATTGCTTAGTTACAACTAAACTTCAATAATTAAAAAAAAAAAAGAGGATTTACAACTGCATACAATTAGTCAGGCCCTTAACCCCCAATGTGTTATTGTTGTGCTTTATTGTGTTCCATGTTCATGTACTATGCTCCAAGACTAAACGTGTTACCTTTGAGTATAGCCAGGGTGGTTGTTTCAACTTGTGTACACTCTTTATGCTAAGCTAAGCTAACAATCTCCTGACAGTGCCATGAGAGTGGTATTAATACTCATCTTGTTACTTTTAACAAGATAATGTCTATGACAACTTAGACAACCAAAATTGTTAAATTATTCCATTAAAAGAAGCAGCTTATTTTCATCTTAACAAACAGCTGCCTCAGAATTCACCTAAATAAAATAAAAAGACAAAACATCTCAACAGACTTGCCAGACCAACTTGAAGTATGTGGACACAGTTCAGTTTCATCTCAGGTGGTACTGAGGATTGATTCTTGCCCATGTGTGACATAAAAGCATCATCATTTAAGGAAACACTGAAAAGTAACTTTGATTTCTTTCTGGTGTATGCTTAAAGTTTTTTGTCCAAGGATGATGTCTCTGGAAAATAAACAAATGAATGTCTCAGTGAAAAGATGTATGACATCGTCACAGTTCTCTATATACTTTCAAGTATAGACAAAAACACACACCAAACTCAGAGCTCTCATTAACCAAGTCTGAACTAAATCTGATGTAACCCA